ATGTGTGTGCACGCTTGGTCTAGAGTTTCTCTGACACAAGGTGACTCTCAATTTAAATTCCATGTTCTAAAAATTGAGTATCCAATTATGAAGTTGTTTAAAGTCTGTAAATCAAAAATAGGACAGTAAAGCTTTAAAAATAAACGATTTGGGAACAGTGCAATTAACTATACTTTATGGCAACTTGAGCAAATGATGCACTCATTAACTGGGATTTTTAATTTCCTTATCTAAAAGCTAAAATGATTTCCTGACTCTGTTTTGAAAAGGGAAGGAAGCTTTGGCAGCAGTGAGATTCTGTTATGAGAAGAAACTTGTCTGAATACAGAGAGCAGCATTGCCAGATCACACTTTGCTTTTACTGTCATTTTTTGTTAACTAGTTTTTAGACTTGATGATAGTGTTAATGTAACACTTTTGACTAGTATTAAGGTAACAGTCTTCAAAGAGATGCCTTAGAAAACTGACTGAATTTTAGGAATTTTGTAGTCTAAGAGCTCCCAGATACTGTATAAATCCATTGTTTGAAACTGAAGAGAGTAGGAGTGAATGTCCTAAAAGTATTCCTTTGGATCTTCAGGAAAATTCTGCACTTAGCTTTCATAACGATGAAGCACTGTTTCCTTTTTTTAATGCAGAAATGGAAGCATAATTGGAATGTTACTCAAATTTACAGGTTACCTGGGATATAAGCAGAGGTTTCAATTCCTTCTGATTTTGCATTGAGTATAGACGGTTTGGCAGTAAAAATGACAGCTGGTATCTGAAAACTGTCCTGTTTGAGACTGACTTAATCCAAGAAGTTGATCTTTAGTACACATTCGTAGCAGTTTCATGTTAGTAATAGTGTTAAAGTATAATATTTATTACAGTAATACTACCATATACTTTCCCTATACTACCATATACTACCCTATACTTTCAACTCCACTTTACAGCAGTTTTAGGAATGCTGAAATGAGAATAGATTCCAATTTCATCCAGATTTTAAAACCAGTTGAATTAACCATCAAAATCAGACTTGCTTAGAACCAGTCTAGACTCTTAAGGAGTACCTTTTACAACAGTGTGTTGAATATCTGTAAGATACTAAGCAAGACCTGTCTGTATTATGTCCTCTTATTTGATGTGATAATCGAACATATGCCTTTCCTGAGCACATCATTACAGAATGCTATTGCTGTTTTATCTTTTTTCTTTTCTTTTTCTTTTCTTTTTACTCTTGCCTAAATATTCCCTCTAGAAGAACAGGAACCTTTTTAAAAAAAAATGAGATCCACAAACTAGCAGTTTTACACTTCATTCAAACCATTTGGTTATATAATCATGTTACTGGGTTCTTCATATGAACAAAAGTTAAGAATAAAAAGGTAGAACATCTTAAGGAAGTAGGTTTGAATGTTTCTGTAGAAACAAAATTAACTTTCAAAATCAACTTATTCTCCAAATAAGTATTTTCTCTGGCTTTTAGTAATGTGTAAACATTTTCTCATGTATCTAGTTTTGCACTGTGAAGACAGAAATTAGATGGTTCCATGTTTTCAGTTTAATAAAATGTTACAATAGTAATAGCAAATTATCTGCAATTTCACATCTGTGTTATTTAATATTTAAGAGACAAAAGTTCATTATTTCTATTACTTTTGCTGTAGGATGTCAGCTGTAATGAAATCACAGCATTGCCACAGCAGATAGGCCAGCTAAAATCTTTAAAAGAACTAAATGTCAGAAGAAATTACCTCGAAGTTTTACCCCAAGGTAAAAAAAAATTAAATAATTCCTAATACCTTTATGATAGCTCTTTTTATTAGCATTTTGAAAGTATTTTTTTATCATATAAGTAAATATGATTAAAAAGTAGTAATTACCTTGTGTTCAAATTTATTTCATTTGAGCTTGCAGAATATAATATTTGGCACTCACTAAAGTGCGAGGGTTTTTTAATGAATTATCTTTATGATTCTATGCATCTTTTAAGTCACAGAAACACTTTCTGTGAATGCAGTATGGGAACATCAGAAGAGTTTCAGGAAAAAAAAAAAGTATTTATTTTAAAATTTATTGTCACTTGTAGAACAATAACACTTTGTTCATTTGCCAGTATAGAATGGAGTAAATATTGATAGTATTCCTGCCTGAGTTTGTATTTTTTCTGAGTGCAAAAGAAAGTTTATTCAGAAATACGTTATTATTTTATGGCAAAAATAAATACAGATATAACACCTTCTCTCTTTTTTGTTACTTTTAGAACTAGTACAGCTTCCCTTGGTAAAGTTCGACTTTTCCTGCAATAAAGTGCTTGTGATTCCAATTTGTTTTAGAAAGATGGTGCAGTTACAAGTATTACTGCTTGAGAATAATCCTTTGCAGTCCCCACCAGCACAAGTAAGTAACATCAATAATTTAAATTGTGCCATAATATTGGGTGGATGATAAAAATTTATAGGTTATAGTCACCTTTGCAATTGCAGCTTTCTGAACATCAGTTATCACAGACATTAGTTGTTGATATATAAATAAGACAGTATGAGTCTAGAAGTTTTCCATTCTATTAGCTGCCTGTTTATTTTTGTCATTCCTATCTGCCATGAAACTTAATGTTGAAATATGTATGTAATTTTGAAAAATAGAATTGAGAAACTTCCTGGATAAATCTTCTCTGTTAATAAAAACCCAGCTCTAGAAGTTTCTACAGTGATTTACTATTAACTTAAATATGCAGACGGTTTACAATGTAATCCATGTGAAGTTTATTTTACTTTATAGTGTAAGTTTATAGATTGTGATACACAAAGAAGTCAAACTCCTGGTCTGAACTGTAGGCCATGTGGAGAAATTATGATAAGGAATGGAACCTGTGCTTGCTGCTTGAGGACAACTTCACGGTTGTTGACTTACTGAACAGTAGGTTCAAACTACATCTCTGAAAGCTACAATTGTTGTAGACCAACAGCTGTTGAAATACTTGAGAGATTTTATTACATTGGAGAAATGCTTTTCTTAACCCACGGTGATGCTGTTACTACACTCAGAAAATACAGAGCAAGTTTCAGCAAGCACTTGAGCTAGAAATGTGCAGTTAAAGAAAAATAATTCTAGAATGCAAAAATGCAAGTGACATGCATCATAAAGATCCTTGGACACTAGTAAAAATAATGTGACTAAGAGTATAAAGGTGATTAATTAAATGTCATTATTGACTAATTTTGGAAAATAATTATTCAATTTATGGTTAGTAATAGGCCATATGATATATTTTATCATAATGCTTTTTGAATGAAAAGCTCATTTCGTTTTTTTTAGGTAGAATACATTATTTTCTTGTTTTCTGGCTTAACTCTGAGATTATTTATACTAGTACACACAAATAATTGATTGGATAACGGAAGCAGTTCTTAGTAATTTATTTTTTTTTAAATGAACAAAACCCATTTTCCTTTACATGATACCTGTTGTGATGATATGAGTTGGTTTTCAGGGAGTTTTACACTAAGTGACATTGGGAATAAATTATTACTTTCATTCTAGTTATAAATGTAACTTTTTTTCTTGTCTAACAGATTTGTACAAAGGGTAAGGTGCATATATTCAAATATCTGACTGTACAAGCCTGTCAAATTAAAACAGCAGACTCGCTGTATCTTAATGCCATAGAACAACAGCATTTGCCACAACCCGTGGAGGAGAGGTATGTATGAAAATCTCACTTAGTTTTTTCATGGAACACTTATGAACAAAGTTAAATAAATATGTTTATATATTTAGCTTCCAGAGTTTAGTCTGTTTAGATGGTATTTAGAGGGTACTTTTTTGAACAGAGATTTGTTTTACTTTAATATATTTTATTCTAATGAAATCCCTATAAGAGTTTAGAACAGAATATTTTTAACAATCTGTTCTGATTAAAGTTAGCAGCACATTAGGAAAGAGCTTAGAAGTGAACCTTAGTTTAAATCTAACCTCTTACTAGTAGACTACAGGAATATATTGAAAATAATTGAAATGGTGATATCATTAGGTGTTGGAACTTTCTTGTAAATCTAGTAACACATTAATTAAGTTATAATTTCTTGCATTGTTTTATGATTTATATGTTTTATACATTAGAGTTGCACAGCTGTTTTAAGCTTTTTTATTCATCCAGAGGCTTATCCATCGAACAAAGAGAATGGCATGATTGCTGAGACCCTTTTAAAGTAAAATGTGCTAATTTTTTAGTAAAATGAAAGACAGAATCTCTAATATCCTACATCAAACATCTAAGAAATGTCATATGGTGGTTTAAGGACAGGAACTAGATACAAAGCAGGTCCCTTTTCTGAGAATCTCCATAGCTAATTGGAAATCAGTTTTTAGCCAGCTCTTTCTTTGCTAACATGGGAAATGTAGTGTAACCAATCAGAGAAAGTATGATAATGCCTTAATTTTTGAGAGAATAACAAAGTGTTGATGTAAATAAAAATAGAGATGTTGCTGCTAACACCCTGGGGAAAAAAAAAAAAGAAAAAAAAAAGAACTGTTACGGAATCTCCCTGTCAGATAAGGTTTCAAGCAAATTGTTTTCCTCCATGTATGTTTGGAGACACCTTGGTGGATTTCTATCAGGTAAATGCCAAAGGTGGGAAGAATCCAGAATGAAGATTAAGTTTTCCATTTGGGAAACACCTGCTGGATTTCTGTTTTGTTCTTTTAGTCTACAAGATAATTGACAGGAATATCATGTCCTGTATGATATTTTGGTCACATACAGTTTAGGGTAAGGTTAAGTACAGAGTAGGTACCGGTCGGTAACAAACAGTCTAATGCTCTGTCACATAATAATTACCAGGTTTTTGTTTTAGAGAATAACTTCTCTCTTCTAAAGGAAAACATAACCTGGTTAGAATTTCCATAAGCAGTTTCTACACAAAATCCTTAGTGTTTACTGGTAAAAGATAATTTAAGATTAGGATTCATGTGAAGACTGATAAAATTATTTTTTAAATTGCTGTGTCAATCTGAATTCAGGATTACAGCTTTCAGGATTGCAAGTGAGAGGATAATAAAGCATATTAAAAAAAAAAGTAGGTGATGAGTGTATCGCATCTAATAGTGTACTTTAAAATGAGTAGAGGTCATACTAGGTAATGAAACCAGAAGAGAGCAGTTGCCATTATTAAAGTCATGTTTAAGAAAACCTAAATTTCAAAGTCTATTTTAAAGCACTAAAAGGAGGTTTCTGTGTTAATAATTACTTCAAGCTGCAGGGACGTATCAGTTCATTTTTAATGCATCAGTGGTTATAATTAAATCAGTTGGTTCCAGTTTGACTTCAGCTAGTTTAGTTGCTTCTCCCATGGCTAAATGACTTCAGTCAGACTCCTGTGCTACTTAGCTAGTAACTATTTTTACCTAATGTATAGACAAAAGCAAGCTTTATAGCAGATTGCTTCTGTTGTTTTCATTAATCCTTAGGCTAACCAGCCATTCTATCTGATCTGTTTTGCTCTCAACCAGACTGCAGATGTGTAGTTTGTAACCCATACTAAGCTATTGTTAAGACTAGTTGGAATTTTGCTTTAAGTGAAAACAAGACAGAATTCTAACTGCGTGCTGTGATAGCTTTCTGTTGATTTTTGTTCACATCTAGCATTGATGACATCTACCCAAGTAAAAAAGACTCAGATTCAGGTGTTGGTAGTGATAATGGCGATAAACGTTTGTCAGCAACAGAGGTAAGTTGCCTGAATTTTGTGTCCCAGCTCCCCTTCTCTCTGCAACCATATTTTGACTATATCTTAAGTTGGGTAACAATCTCTACACTTTTTTAGCCATCAAAACTGTGCAACAACATCTTTCACATGAGTTGCTTGCTAAGATATGGCTAAAACAAAGATAAAAGGAGACTGGGATTTGTTTGGTTTTTTTTGTGTGTCCGTATGCTTTCTGGAGAAGGGCAGTGAGAGATACTTGCTTACAAATGGTCGACCACCTACCAACAGTGAAAAGTAACTACAGTTTTCAGGCAGTTTACATAATCTAGAGAATAAGGACCAAACCAGAGTCCACATCTGCCATTTACAATGAAGTAAATGTCCTAACAGGTTACACACCTGGCTGCTTCTCATGTGTTTTCTATCTGACTGATGACTCTTTCCTCTTGGGAATTAACAGGAGTTCACTGTACCCAGTTCCGGTATGTTCTGTGGTGTCATGGTTATGGCAGTTTGCAATAGCGTAGAAAACTCAGCAACTTTGCAGATCTTAATGCATTTACATTCTCTGGCAGTTTAGGCAGGGCTGGAAATAAGCCTTCAGAATTTTTTCTGAACTACGTTGGCAAAGACGAAGGATGGCTTTGTGAGACTAGTGCTGTTCCTAAGCAGTTATAGCTGACTTCCCTAGACCTTTTTTCTGAGGCACTGCTCAGCTGAACAGGGCACTAAATCTAGTTGGAGTTGAACTGAATAAACCATAGAATGGTTTTGGTTGGAAGGGACCTCAAAGATCATCTAGTTCCAACCCCCCTGCCATGGACAGGGACACCCTCCACTAGACCAGGGTGCCCAAAGCCCCATCCAACCTGGCCATGAACACTTCCAGGGAGGGGGGAAGATAATGATAAATGAGTAAATAATTGGCAATATAATTCAGCGATGATCTTTCTGAATTGTACAAATAATGGGATTTGTGGTCTGACCTAATGGGAAATGTTTGGGTCACAATAAAAGAATGCGCTTCTTACTGCTTACACTGATTCTTTAGTGTTTATGACCTCCTTTGAGCAAAAGAGATTCTGTTGCTTCTGGAACAAATGTATGAAGAATCAAACTTAGGTACTGAATTTGTAGTTACTAAAAAGCAAATTGAAAATTAATCCACTTACGCACTGATCGGTCTTTTTGAATACAGAAGCACTTAAAAAAATTAACCCCACACACAAAACCCCACAAGGATTTCCAAGTATTTGGACAAGTTTCTTGTTAGGTAAAAATGAAGCAGATTTACTATAATTTCTAGCCAGACTTCTAATGGTTTTCCTCTGGTAGTAAGAGCATGCAGTCCATTCAGAGATGCTTACAAACTGTTTTGCCATTCTTACACTTCCTGAAGCTGAGTTTGCTTGTTAAAGAAACTGTTATTCCAGAATTTCCTCTTTAGCTATAAATAACACATTTTGAAAACAGATCATCTTTCCTGTAATCAAAATGTAGCAATTGGAATTCTGAAAAAAAAATTTGTTTTAAAGAGAACCAACAGTGAGCCAATATATTTTTATTAGCACAAAGGTTTTTGATATGGGAACTATTTACTTATTCCATCACTGCCTGACTACTGCTCTACTATTAAGGAGAAAATAGATGCTGAGATCAGTAATCCCAAAAGTATTCGGTAGTAAATTCACCACTCAATTTCCTTCTGAGGCGACCTTTAATACCTGTGTTACACATGAGAATTGTGCAAGAAATCAGCATGTAGCAAAAACAGATTCACGTACATTGTTAATTACAATCAGAAATCTACATACCAAACATTAAATAAACAGTCATCAGTCATAACATGATCATTAAAACACATTTTTGGAGGGTTTTTATAAATACATCAGATAAAAACAAACTACAGTTTAATCTGAAGGCTAGTGGCTGTGGAGTTTCAGCTTTTTTACAGAAAATACTACAAGGTAGTTTTGCATTGGTGTAACTTAAAAATGTTAACTTGAATGAATCACTTGTTTGAATACTAATGTATTTTGAAGGAAGCTTGTTAATTGCCTTTGGACCCATACACGTAGCAGAGAGTATTTGATTAAATGAACAGTTAATGTATTTGTCTAGCTTGTTAGTAGGGTCATTACAGGATCAATTCTGTAGTCATCTATAGCTATAGTCATCTTGTGCATTTCAAGTGAAAGCTATCTTGCAGTACTGCTGTAAAACTGATCGTGGCAACTTGAAGGCAAATTCTGCTTTAAGGTAGTATACTCACGTACATCATCTTTTAGGAACAGTGTAGCATTTTGATTCATTTTCCACCTCCCTTTGGCCTTATTTTCCCTTAGTTAAAATTCATTAGAACAAGAGGGTACTTGTTAAGATCCAGAGGGTGTCCTTGTTTTATTACCCCGTAAGAGTGATGCATTAGATCAGCAAGAACGTATATGAAGATTCTTTCAAAATACATCATCTGAATTCAGTATTGAAATATTGTTAGGTATTTTTGATTCTTACATGTCTATTGTCTTCTGTTGCTAGCTGAATAAAAATAAAACTGTGGACGAAGGAAGTGAAATATAGTATTTCACCTATGAAGGAGCAATACTTTTGTATTATTGAAAGCTGCTTTGGATAGTTTCTATTTCATAGTATACTGGCAGGAAACACCTGGAAATTCAATTGCAAAATTCTGTAGGCCCTGGAAGTGAGACATAGTCTGTTAAAGGAATGATTTTCTGTTTCCGAAGCGAATGGCCCATGGCTTTTTTTTTTTTACAACAACACTCAAAAATATTTTCCTAAAAGCTGTGTGTGTTACTCTGCTGAGAAAAAAAATCTTCCCTGTTTTAATATTCAGAACTTGTAATAATGCATATAAGAACATTTTACTGTAATATCTTCAAATGATAGTTGCAAAATTAACAAACATGAATCTTTGAACTAGAATAACTAAATTTAGTGTTTAAATGTCACATAAGATACAACCTGAAAGAAAAAGAAGGAACTTCACTGTAACCTTGGTTGTCTGAATGAATTTATATTGTGCGTGTCTTTTTTTTTTTTAATGCTGCTGGATTGTCATTGTTTCAGTTCTAAAAGAACTAGTGAATTTTGTGCTTAGACTGCTTGGACTGTGGTTTGTTTATTTTCTGTTTGAGATACTAATTAGTTTCAGTTTAAAATAAAATATATTTTGAAATTTTAAATGTATTTTAAAAATTGACAAATAGGAACAGTACTGCAATGTTAGTTCACGTCATTATAAAGCTTCATCATTTTGATAAGGCTTTACCAGTTGCCTGAATATCCTTTTGAATTTTTTGTCTTTCAGCAGAAGAATACAGCCAGTGAATTCCTAGAGTTAATAATATAGGTTTATTCATAAAGGAGCACCTTTATGGTGGTCCGCATTTACAGAATGTTTTAAGTCCAGGGTATTCTTGGCAAATAGGAATAACCACATGTATCTTTTGATACGATTTTTTAAGAGGAGAGCGGATTTGTTCCATTCCTTATCATAAGCCTTAGCTTCAGGATTTTTAAAAAAAATATTTTCTGCATGGAATTTGAATATCTATAAGTAGCAAGAATGGCATAATTCTACTGGAAGCTAGTCACTATGGAATTGAATAACTGGTTATATGTAATAATCTCCTATTCCATTTTAGATGAGGTGTTACAATGGACTGAACTGATAAACAGGGAAAGGGAGCAAACTACTATATATGTATTATAGCAGTTATAATTACAGAATACATGTATGCAATATGTATGCACAGAGAAGGAAGTCACAGAAACACAGAGCATCTAAAGAATGAGCTACACCAGTGAGTTTGTTGGGAAATAGATTTGCAAAGCTCTGAGAGACTATTTTAGTGGTAAGCTCTCTATCTCAGGAGAGCAAGAATAAAAATTTGGCTACTGGAAACTGCATCTTTCATAAAAACATAGAACCATTTAGATTGGAAAAGACCTTTAA